CACGTATTGAGAGACTCGGCGATTTGAGAGATGGCGCGACGAAAAGTGTCTATCAATGGGGCGATCTTGGAGACTTGAGCGATCTAGTGGTTCGAGAGTGAATCCCAAATCGCGGTATCGCTCAGTCTCACCAGATACCCATAGTCTCCTCGTTTCCTCTGTGCTCGCTGAAACCTCAGTTGCAAAGTATTAATGCGTCCTAAGCAGTCATTTCTTGGTCACTGGAGTGTCAAGAAATGTCATAGCATACCCTGAGGGTGCATACGAATGCTGCTTTAGAGGCGCTCTCCTTGTCATCTGTTTCAGTTCCTGGTTTCACAAGAATGCTGAGTTGTGGGCAAAAGTCGTGCCCCAGGCGGGAGTCGAACCCGCACCTCACGCTTTCCGGGCGAGTGCGCTATCCGTTACGCCACCAGGGCCTTTTTTACCACAACTCAGCATTCTTGTGATAACATTCGGAACGCGTACTGCGGCGTTAAACAGCAGTTATCATAACAAAACAGGTTCCTGGTTTGTTTTTTTTCCTTGAAAATTTTTCCTTTGTAGTGAAAGCAGACCGCTGCAGAATACCTTGCCACCAAGGAGAATGTTAATACCAACAGTTCCTCCAAGCATGTCCATGGGTGGAGAGTGCTCGGCAGATGAATATGAAATTTTATATGAGAGTGGTATGGATTGCTCAATGATCTTGTTTTTCTCGAAGGTACATTGTGCCAAGAATATCATATATTTAAGGTGGAAATCCACTCATATGTGTAGCGGAAGATATTAACGAGGACGTTTATTACCAGGATTCCGTGGACAAGAAAAACTTCTAGTGGGTGAAACTGTAAATCATTTGTGATCGATCGTGGTATGTTTTGTGATTGGTGGCATTTTTGTCTTTTTTGCAGTTGCTCGGAGATAACATGCTTTTGGCACGGACCAACACAAGCTTCTTTACGACGGCATATGATGATCACTCATAGCCGAAATGTCATGAACAGCAGTGGGATTCGGGCATGTGGTGCTCAAACGATACGTCGTTCTACGAAACCAAAAGGAGTATGTGCATGAATTTTTAATTCCATTTCAAACAGTGTGTTCCGTTTGATCGCATTTCAGCTTGCGGTGGGGTATATTGTGCTTGCGAACTTTTCATCGTCGTGTTCATTGTTCTACAAGAGCTGACACGTTTCTACAAATTTTGACTGCTATGACCTTTTCGGCTCTACACGACCATGGGTAACAGCAACAAGCGAAGTGCCCCCTCCCATTCCCTCTCTCACCTCCCTAGCCGAAGTGCGCTTCCTTTTACACATGCAGTGAAGCTAACATTGCAAGTCTGACTTGATTTTGTATTAAGTGGGAAGGTGGAGGGTGATATCGGTACGATTTTGTGTAATGTTTTGGTAACCGCACGCCATCACAAGGTGCAATATGCAAGAAACGCGTGATTGACGCACTTCATTTTTTTTTCTGAAGGCATCACGTGGCTGAACTGCTGATAAACCATTCGGTGGGAACTCGTTGCGAGCGCAATTGCATGCACGAGGGGGCATTTTGTAACTCCTGTCAATTTATCGCGCCATTTTGTGAAGTCCTGCAATCTTCTGTAAAACTGCGAAATAGCACAAGTTTCAAAGATAATCATGATCGACTGCCCATCAATATCGGTATTATGACAGAAGTCTGGAATTGCTTTTTGAGCTTTCCAAGATCACTTAAATCTTTATCCAGCTGGAGTTTCGGCGAAACTGCCTTCTTCGGAGCCTGTAGCTCGAAACAGTTCGTCCAGATCCCATTTTGCACATTTTTTTCTTTTACCTTTTTTCTTATTTATACGGCATTCTAATGGAACCTGAGAAGAAACGTGTGTGAGCCGGGGATGTGTATTAGGTTGTTGCATAAGTTTCCCCCCCCCTGTTTTGATCCTTCCGTATTTCGTTTGCATGGAGGTTGGTATTTCGTCATCACGTGTGCGTGACGTGTACATGATACTCTTTCACCACACTAGCTATCACTCACCCACCCTGCATTTGCAGGCTACAATGCCGCACAATTACCAGTGCAAAACCATGTCACAGTGGTGATTGTGCGGCATTGTGGCCTTCTTCGGGTCCCAGCCCCCGTCCTTCTGGGACGATGGAATCGACAAGCTGCCTGAGCGTTGGCGTCGAGTAGTGGATGGTGATGGTGCATACCTCTAATCTTCAGGCTGGTTCGCTATTGAGATTTACAAAAAAAATCGGGGAAAAAAACTTATGCAACAACCAAATATTTTCGTCCAAGTGTGGGAGGAAGGAGCTCCGAGGTCTATCAACCCATTGCTTGTGGAAAAAGTGGATCCATTTGTTCCCTGAGAGATGGTTAAACTTCTCTTCTTCCGAAGAGAAAAATAGTCATTTGTGGTTTGCGGTTTTTGAGCTGCGTTTATACTTTGCGGCAGCGTAGCGCTTCCAGCGTACGCCAGCGGCAGTGTCGGGGAAAGGATAGATATCGATCTAGCGTTCCCAGCGTCACCAGCGTACGCTAGCGTAGCGAGGGCACGGGAAGCATAGCTATCGATCTAGCGCTCCCAGCGTTTCACTAGCGTTTGCAGCGGCGGGCTAGAGAGTACACAAATACTCTCCTACTCTTCTATACTCTCTAGCCCCGCCGCTGCAAACGCTAGCGGGGCTAGAGAGTATAGAAGAGTAGGAGAGTACAAAATACTCTCCTACTCTTCTATACTCTCTAGCCCCGCTAGCGTTTGCCAGCGGCTAGAGAGTATAGAAGAGTAGGAGAGTACAAAATACTCTCCTACTCTTCTATACTCTCTAGCCCCGCCGCTGGCAAACGCTAGCGAAACGCTAGTGAAACGCTCGTGAAACGCTGGAAGCGCTACGCTACGCTGCCGCAAAGTATAAACGCAGCCTAAGACACACCCTTCGTTGAAAGATGGTGAGTTGTTTGGCTCAACTACTGATGACAAGGTAGTAAGTGATTCACTAGTGAAGAAAAAAAATTAAAAAGGAACCAGCCTAAACGCCCTGTATAACTCTATTCTAACCGTGCTTATACATGCGTAAGGTGAAGAAAGGGCGAACGGGTTCTCACTAGTTGGTAGCAATTTTTCCTACTTATCATCTCGCTATCACCATTCGAAATGGAGAGTGCTAGTAGGAAACAACCAGGCTAGAAAGCCTTCAGAAATGAAATTCAGGCGCTTGCTGGCTAGTGGTCGGGCGCTGACCTCGTTGCGAGCGGGTAGCGCTTTCCTGACATGGTTTTGTGCTGAAAAAAATAGTGCCCCCACTCTTGCGGACAGGCCTACCATGTCTCCAAAGAAGGCGTCCGAAGATCAAATGAACGCGCAGCGTGGCTTTAAATGTCTCATGCGCTCTACTGCCTTGGCATATTGTAGGCAAGATTAAATTTATAAGGTTTCATTGCTTTACAGGTGTTTTACAAAGTGGACTAGTACATACAGGAGTTTACAGAATGCCCCCGTTCCACATTATGGGCAAGCGCCACAGGAGCCAGTATCAAATTCCAAATCTTAGGTACACAATGATGTGTAAAACGTGGCCACTGTTCAGGTAAAATGTAGTGAATGTGATGAAATGGCGTATTCACGGCCGTTATTGTTGCGACATATGACGCAGGTTCATGGAATTGTAGCTCCATTGATCCATAAAACGTTTTCTGACCGCGAAAAACTTCAGGTATGATTTTCTCGTCGGATACACCTGAGGCCTACTCTTCTGTTTTTTTTAAGATATGGTTGGAACAACTTCGCGAGACACATGCCATAGAATTCGTCGTTTCATCAGGATCCAAGAAGTGGGGTCAAGGTCTACAGGTAGCACTTTATCTCATGTGTCTTATTTATTGCTCCTTTATTTCTTTACTTTGAGTTCACCGCACTGTTCCAAGTTTTTCATGCCTTTCACTTCCGTCTTTATAAATTTCCTGTTCCTTATGCTCTTTTTTACCATTTCGCTATCCTTTCTTTCTCTTTCTTTCCTTTTTTGTATGTTTATTCATCCAGTCAAATCTTGATTATCCTCTTAATTCATGATGATCTTAGAGCACTACCGCCTTTTATTGAAATTCTGGAAATTCCTATTCTCAGGTTCACTACCTCACTTGCTCACGGAGTGGAGAGCAGAAGGAGCGTCCCAACAAGAAATTCAGGCGACCAACACGTCCGTCAATAAAATGCGGAAAGAACTGCATGGCTTATTTGAAGGTAATGAGGATATTAATTATGAAGTATTCTCCGTTGTATTGAATTTCTATGCGTCACGGATTCTAGGCTCATTTAAAGTCAGTTAAAGTAAAGTAATGGCTTACGAACGCAGTGGTAGCCTATGAAAACTTCGAGAGAATTAGCTGATTCGCGTGAAAGATGTTGATTTACGGGCGGAAGTTTCACCTCAGTTAAGCTTCGAACTTGCACCTAATGCGTTCTGGGACCGCTAAGCGTGAGGTGCAGATTAGAGTTCTGTCCAAGGTCAGGTCTCTCGCCCACGACAGCATTCTTGGATAGATTTTGCAGCTCGAGCTGGCGTGATAAACGGCATATATCGTGCTAAGGAACGAGTTCGAAATTCGCTTTTTTAACGTTCCCAAACTGATACCAGTACCAGTTGTTTGACCCCAGAGGAGTGAAACGCTTAGGCAGAGGCGGATCCGGCAGTTGATCTCTTGGCCGTGCGCGGCGTAGATGGTGCCTTTTGTCGTCGCGCAGGCTGCGCTTTGGAAAGTGAGGTTGGAAAATCTTACGGGTCGTTTTTGTTGAAATGTAAAATCATCCTGTTTATTTCAACGCGATGACGTGATGTAAAACTTTTCCAGTGTTTTTTTTTTGAGAAAAGGGTAGAAAATTAAATAGCAAATTGCCTGTATATTATAATATGTAGTCAGGAATTCCCATTTTGTTCCGAATTTTTCTGACAGAAACATTCCTTCTTTCTACGTTCCACGTTTTTCCCCC